GGCAGGAATAACCTACAGGGTGTCGATAGCGAAGAGCTAGATCCTCTGTTGCACCCTGACCACGTGGCCTACCTTCGAGAGGTGAGATCACAGGGGATGCCGGCTCGCTACCTTGGCCAAAGGGAACGGGTTGTGACAAGGCCGCACCCGCGAGCCAGAGCAGATTTGGGCCAGGTCTATGTGCAGTTGATGAAGGACATCACAAAGCACCGAGTCTTGGTCGTATCAACTGACCACCCCAATCTTGGCCATACGGTCTCCTCGCCTTTCGAGTTGGTCCCCAAGATGCTTCCCAATCGGACGCTCTCCACGGAGGCTCGACTGGTCCATGACCAGCGTCAGGTCAACGAGGGGACTCACAAAGAGTTGCACCCGCCGGCGGCTCAGCCGACCCATGAACAAGTGAGAAGGGTCCTATGGCTGAAGACAAGGTATCCAGGGGTGAAGGTCGTCATGGCCAAGAAGGATGTGGCGGGGGCGTTCCGGCTTCTATGGGTCGATCCTCGAGACGCTGAGTTGGAGACCGGAGTTCATGGGCTCAGAAGAGAAGGCAGGGGGGCATGAGAAATCGGGCCTCACGCTGATCTACCTAGTCTCCAGCTTCGGCTTCTCTGGATCTCCTGGCGAGTGGACGGCATGGGGCCGGGCAACAGAGGAGGTCCACCGCAACCTGCGACCACAGCATGCGAGAAGGGACGGGGAGTCGCACTTTTGTGGGAAGATCCTGGTTGACGATATGGTCCTGGTCGAACCGATGATTGGCTTGCGGCCCTGGGTGTCTAGCGAAGTCTATGAGTGGGCGGTGGTAAAGCTCTTGGGAGAGAAAGCCATCAACAAGCTGAAAGACGCGGAGGAGGGCCAGTTCAGCAACCAACAGACAGTATGGGGGCTTACGATTGACGCCGACTTGGAGAAGATGTCTTTGCCAGAGGCGCGGATCCTCAAGGGGGCCTACTTGCTGGCGCAAACCCACTTCAATTATGGCAACAAGAGCTTGCCCCTGAAGGAGCTGCAACGCTTCAGGGGGATTGCCAATGGGTGGAGTGCAGTCATAGCCGGGCTACGAAATGAGCTACGGGCGGCGGACCTGTTCCTCGGCGGTGTGGATGGCGGTGCGGCAGTGCAGCCACGTCTATGGCAGCCAGAGGGATCGGAGAGCCGCAAGATCGAGGAGGAGAATGCTTGGGAGTCACTTTGGGAGTTGTTTGAGGACTGCCGATGGCTCTGCTCTCGATCGGAGACGTGGGCAGTGAAGTTCGGCGGAGATATCCGAGAGCTACTTCCACCAATGGAGAGGTTGGCGCTCCCGGGTCAACAAGGAGCCGGACCAGTCTTCGTGTCATCGGACGCAACCCCGGACGTCGTGGCGGCCATTGACTGGACCAACCACTTGGCGTGCAGGGAGTCAACCGAGCTGCTGAAGCCATGGATCAGACAGGTGATCGAGGCAGAGGGCCAAGGAGATGGCAAGCTGGCGATCCACCTAGGGGAGATGCTTAGCTTTGTCGCGTTCGCATGCAAGGTCGGCCATCTCTGGGAAGGCAGGGTGGTCATCTACGCCGGCGACAACAAGGTGGTGTACTTTTGGATCACCGGGCGCAAGAGCGGGGTTCGAGCGGGCAGGCTTCTGATCCGAGTCTTGAATTTGGTCGAGAAGCGGCATCGATGCAGGATCCTCGGAGGATGGTGGCGGACCTTCCACAACGAGGATGCGGACGCCTTGACCCGTTTGCCGGAGCCAGAGGCAGCGCAACTTATGCGTGAGAAGGGCTGGGACAAGCAGGACATCAAGGAGAGCATCTGTCAGGCTTTGGAGGACACCGAGCGCTTTGGCCTCTGCTTCTTGTCATGGGCAGACCAAGAGGACCGCTATGAGTTGATGCGTCTCCGGGAACTACGGGTTTTCAGAGCCATCTTCCGTCAACCGGCCGATCTGTCAGAGGTCGAGGTCATTGAGTGGACGCCGGGCCAGCGGCATGTGAGAGACTTTGAGTACTTCTCCGGTGGCAGCCCTGGAAGATACAAGGTGGTGGCAGGCACCATCGGCCCAGACCCAAAGGGCAAGAAGGTCAAGGAGTTCACCCAGTGTTTGGACCAGGAAGTCTTCGACATGGCAATCCTCGAAGGGCCCCAGAAGGTGATGTGGTCCCGCTTGGACCAGTGGGCCATTTCGGTCGGATGGAGTTGTAGCTCCCAGGAGTTTCTCACTTCGGAGCTAGGGGAGGCCTTGGTCAGAAGGAGGATCGCTTGCTTCCTGGCCCCTGGAGAGAAGGCGGAGGACACCATCAAGCATTTGATGGTGAAGGCGGTTACAGCTCCCTCCCTGGGCTCCTACTTGAAGAAGATCCACGCGGGCAGTTGCACCCCGACGTGCAAGGTCGAGGCAGCGATCAACCTCGGGCAGGAAGCTATGTTGCCGGTCGTCGCGGCCCACGTATGGCTGGAAGCCGATGGGGAACGACAGAACGTCTACTCCATGGGTGGGCCTGGCAGGTGGCCACTGGTGGACTCCACCGAGAAGGGCATGCAGAAGATCTTCGTGCAGGACAAGGCGGCACCAGTGGGGCAGGTGAGGACTTTGACCGGTGAGGAGATCTGGGTACTCCAAGGCAGACGACTAGACGAATGGCAGGAGCTGGTCGCACAAATCGGGGAGAAGGAGGCCGAAAGAGAAGGATGTAGAGCCACTGGTCGCAGAACCGCGCTCAATCTGGTCGGAGTCGCAGCGGAGTTGGCGAAGGGGATGCGGGAGAATAAGGCCGGCATGTGCGTGGACCAGGAGGACTACAAGACTCTGGGAACGCTCCTGCAGTGGCTACGCCGCTGGAGACGAGGAGATTTCGGCAGGGCAAACCCTCATCGCAAGGCTGGGGGTGTCGAAACACCGACCGGGCATGCTTGGTTTTGGGGTGAAGACCTATGGCTGAGCGCTCTGGACGAGGTGAACGACTTCGGCGGCATCCAAGAGAGGAAATGTGGGGGACGTCGTAAGGGCCCAGTGAAACCGGTTGTGGAGGACGGTGGCCGCTTCGTGGATTTGAACCCCGACTTCAACCAGGACCTCGAGATCCAAGCTCAGGTTGAGGAATGGCTTGAGGCGCACCTCACGGGGGACAAGGCCGAAAGCACACAGAAGGCCTACCTGGCAGCCTGGCACAAGTGGTGCGATTGGAGCAAGAGGCAGGGATGGCTGACACCGTACCTTGACCACAAGGGGGACCAGATCCAGAATGAGAACAAAGTCCTTGGCTACCTCGGGTACCTGGGTTGGCTGGGCACATCAGTGGCCACGATGAAGCAAGCGGTGTTCGCCATCAAGGATGCACACAAGAGGGCGGGGCATGGCGACACCACCACGAAGATGCATCGGTTGTGGATCGTCCTGAACTCCCTGGAGAAGCACTCCGTGAAGCGACCCAGAAGATTGGGAGTCACCGTGCAAATGCTCAAGTGGCTCGGCAAGCAATTAGCTGCGGGGGCAGAAGCCATTGGCGAGTTGAAGGTTGATTGCAGGATGATCCAGGCGGCACTCCTCACGGCATGGTTCTTCATGCTGCGGGCTCGCGAGTTTGCGGATTCAGGAGGAGTCGACCAGGAGATGGTGGTTAGGGGTCAGGACATCTCGCTGACGACCCGCGGCAATGCAGATGAAGAGAAGCCAGAGGAAGTCACGTTGCAGTTCAGGAAGACCAAGGCGGATCAGGAGGCCTTCGGCACGTGTAAGACCATGAAGGTGACCGAGATTGAGAACGTCTGCGTGGTCACCGCTCTTCATCGGCTTCGTGAGGTCGCCCCGAGGCGCTTTGGGAGAGGCCCGGAAAGCCACCTGCCGCTGTTTCGCTGGGCTTCGGGGCCAGTGATCAAACGCTTGGAGATCCAGAACCTCCTGCAGAAGGCGGCCAAGGCCTTGGGACTCCCGGCGGAGAGGTTCCAGTCGCATTCGTTGCGGATTGGAGGCGCCTCGGCGCTATACCAAGCCACCGGAGAGATTGAGGTTGTCAAGAGGACTGGAAGATGGACGTCCTCAGCGGTGCAACGCTATCTCCATGACTCAGGAGATGTGTTGGCGGGCCTGGCTACGAAGATGGCGACCGTCGACCAGCACGTGCACTACACGTAGTGGAGCCACGTCCTTGAGCCCGAAGCAGTGAAGTGGGGTGGTGGCTGAAGCCATAGAGGATGAAAGTCCGAGGCAACAGCACCAACTTCAGTGTTCTGCGGCAAACAAGTGCGGGCGCTATGCACTTAAGTTGGAAGTTTTGCAAACTGTTACTTTGGGGCAAGCCGACCGTCTTGTGATGGAAGCTTGTTGGCCCAAGAGGCCCCCCTTTTTCGCACCCACCACCCACCCGTGGTGGCTGAAGCCATAGAGGATGAAAGTCCGAGGCAACAGCACCAACTTCAGTGTTCTGCGGCAAACAAGTGCGGGCGCTATGCACTTAAGTCTTTAATTCGATTAATGGCTACCAATGGTAGGATTGCGCTGAATACTATGCCTATATAGTCCTTTTCAGTGACAATCGTCCTGGGTGATGCCACGAAAAGGGACACTCTGTTGATCTAGCAAACTGTCCTACTCTAATTCAATCGAACACGGCTAACACGTTGATAAATAAAGATCATCTTCCCGTCTGCACCAAGTGGTTTGCTACAAAAAGACTTCGGAAAACTATTCCTATTCAGCAAGAGTAGCTCCCTGGCGACACCCAAACATCACCTGGCTGGATGTTCATCTGACATGGTTTTCAAGAATGAATTGACACTTAACTTTAGAACCACACCCATCTTTGGCCGTCATTGTCTCAAGAAGCATGCCTATGCCCCAAACTGCCCCACATAGCTCCAAAATGTTCAATGTTTTTTTACAGTAGACAGGTTAGTTTTGAACAATCTCCAAGTCTTCATGATACTTAATTTATTTGTATATTCTAAGATTCTGCTTCCTGGGTGTGCTTTTCATTCTTGTTCACGCCTCTCCATATCATGTTTCACCAGGACACAGCAGGTCATCGAAAGCACCACAGCAAGCACCCAAAGCAGCAAGGAGACCGGCCAGCCGTGACTGGCCAGTAGAAAGCAAAACTTGCTTGAAGAGCGCTCAGTCCAGGTGTGAGAGATGAAGACATCGATCTCCTCGGAAAATCAGGGGGCCACAACTCAGGCGGAAGGCGACATGAACAAGATGCTCAAAACACATATATGAGGTGGAGTGTGAATGAAATAATCTCCCGTGCTCTCCGCACCACAAACATGGTTAAGCTTCAATTTCGCCTTTTGCAGGGATCGTAGCTGGCTTTGACAACTGGTAACTGGTAGCTAGACTGCTGACTTTAATTTACTACTGCTGCTGCTGCTGCCGCCACCACTACTCCTATTTATTGCTTATTAGAGGATGAGTTGCCACCACCGCCTCACCAAAACACCACACACATCCACCCACCAAAAGCAAAAGCGATCTCCCATGAACACCCCAAAGACGTTGTAAGACTGAGATGTTGCACCACGTCAAGGACTTCAAAGCAGTGGAATTTTGGTCCATCCAGTGAGTGGATCATAGTCATCCTGGAACCCCTGTGGATGTCCATAGAAGTCTATGACGGTGGTTCTGACTGGGTTTCACCGTCCAGTCTAGTGGAAGACCAACTAGGCCTCGTGATGTTGTGTTTGTTTGCGAGTTTTAGGCTTTAGGTCTTTGAAACAGGTGGTGAGTAGTGAGTAGTGCGGATGGGAAACCAGCAGTCACCAGGTATCCGACCTTGCCGTCGTCAAGACCGAAGAATTGCAATGCGATGGCACTCACCCATGGTCATCCTTCCCTTCCAAAGAGATAATTGCACCGGCATAGACGCCAGATAGCAACTAACTCAAAAAACTTAAGCAGCTGAAACATATTTTAAACAAATCAAGAACTTCACCAAAAAATAGAGCCTCCAGTAATGCAGAAAAAAATTAAAAGGCTTGCACTGCCAGCACCGGCACCAGCGCCAACACCCTGTCTCGACAGCGCGCACAACCAGCTCACGGCACCGGCACTAGCACCGACACCTTGTCTCAAAAGTGGACACTACCAGCTCATCCTTAATTTGAAGTAAGAACCCCATAGCTACCGCTACCTGGGGAAAAAGTGGAATTCTATGTTTTGAAAAGAAGAAAGAAGAAAAGATATGGATAGATGAAAAAAAAGGAAGGCCCTTAAAGGAAAAACACCTTCCATTGTTCATCTCTATTGAGCGCCGCAAAAAAAAGACCCAAACCTTATATATTTCAGGTCTCTGTCGTCGGCTCGGAGCTGCAAAACAAGGCCAGGCGTTCCTCCAGCTGCCAGTCCTGGCTAGTCGCGAGCGTGGCCGCACAACTTTCTTGTTTGAGCTACTGATCCCTAGGGCTCCGACTACTCTCAGTCACCCACCCGATACACCTTGTCCAAAAAAATATTGGAGTTTCCTAGGGTTTCCTCATTTTGGTGTCCGGTCATTCTGGAAGTTAGACAACGCTGCGCGCCTTGGCTCTGTCCAATGTTAGTTTTTCTAGGTGTAAAAATGGAAAACAACAAACAGCCCCCATGGTACAGGACAGGAGCTTTTCGGAGGTGGTCAATGTCAGAGGTTGCACCAGTTTGGGCCATGGTCTCTCCCTTTACACCCGCTTAGGATCCTTGCTTCCAAAGCGGTAGTGACCATATGGAGGTTGGCGAGTCTTTGGGATTGGTTCGGGAAAGTTGTGAGGCAGGTTCTGAAACCCAGGCGCGGAGGGCGCTTTCAACCAAAGGCGGCTGCCATGCTGCAAGCATTGGGTCATCGACACCCCCCGCAACAGCTCGGGCTCAATGGTCAAGGCGGGGATGGTCGATAATCCTTGCAGTTGGCACGGCACCAAAAAACTGTTGTTCCCACTTCCAACTTCGACGATTAGCTTGCATGAGTGTGATGCAGAAACCATGTGTCACGGACAGAACCTATGATTTCCAAGGTCCCGGTGTGGCTTCGCAAAGACAAATACAACACCAATCGAAAACACTGCAGGTTCTGTGAGTCACTGGTTTCGCAAAACCGATTCATGATGCTCTTCTTTTAAGAAAAGAAACAACAAGATATTTGTTTTCGCTCTGTGGATTCCCGTTCTGGGTGATTCCACAAAAGCATGGCTGTGAAAGGAGACCGTTTTTCTCTACAAAGAATGCCTTTCGACCTCGTTGGAAAGAGACACGCTTGAACTTGAAATGAACTTCTAAAATGCATAGAAGTATTTTATTATATATATATATATTATGTACAAGGCTTCGATTTGAGACACAGTTGGTTCACATGATCAATGATGCGTGATGTTTGAAGAACGGAAAATTGGTGCCATGACAACGACAACAACAATGACGACAACATCATCTGAAGCTAAATCTGGAGATCTCGAAGCAACAGAAGCTCCATCTGCATGGCCTTGGATCGAGATCCGCTTTTGTCCCAAACCTCCTGGGTTTGTCGGAGAATGATAAAGAATCAAAGCGACCAGGCGGGTTGGGCTGCCATCCTCAAATCCAGGTGTGTCTCGCCTGCTTCCCCCCGCAGGTGCCAGCCCGAGTCTTTCAAACCAAGCAAGTACGCTAGTTTCAAGAATCAGCATAGATACCTATCAGACCTATCATTGAAGTATCTTGAAGTAGTTCCAAGAGAGAAAACATCTTCAATGAGGGATCAAATCAGATCAGGGAACAGAGTTGCAAAGAAGCATCTGACCCTGGTGATTCGGGGACGAGAGGACATGACTACTGGCACTGCGCAAAAGCCTTCCAGGAACTTCCCCCTCTGCCTTCCCCTTGTTACTTAAAGGTTATTGCCCGATGATAAAGCCATATTTGTAAAGAATGTCTTGAATTGGTCCCTTCAGGGGTGCGGGGCAGTCTTTGGGATCAGACAAAGCTTCATTCCCCACATAACACAAGTTTTCGAGCTGAGACTTGTCACAGGAATGGTTCGCAGGGTCTGTGCTTCCAAGGTCGACTGCAAGCTCTTCAGGATCTTCCAGGTCTATGGATCCATCCAACGCGAGGACCTCTGAGATCACCTTTGGGCAGAGTTGGCCCATCTCTCCGCAGTCAGAGTCAGACTGTCAAAGCTAAGATTGAATACAGGTTGAATGCATGATTTCCACGATCTGGTGGTGGGTAGACACCCCGATCCCAGTCTTGATCCTGTGCCACTTCTATGATTCTTTCGATAAATTAACTCATGGTAAATCACTTACGGTAGTTGGATTAGTAAAAATCACCATAATCACAATCCATTAGGTCGTCATGTGATGGGGGGTAAGGGATCAAAAATAAGACAAAGGGAAGCAAAAAAATATTAACCGGGGATCAAAAAAAACATAAAAAGGGCATCAAAAAACATATTCTAGCCCACTGAGGATGGTTGCGGGCTGAGCATCGGCTCAAAAAGTCGTTACATTCCATACGAAAAGAGGAGGACAATCTGCAAATGCGATGGGCGACCCTTTACATAGTTAGTTTTCGTGGCAGGCGCAGTGCAAGAGTGTAGATTTTGTGGTGCTGGAGGGGGTTGGGGGGGAGGGCACAGCGCCTCCCCCCCAAAGCGAACCAAACGTTAAAACACAGCACCACAAAAGAAATCACTAGAAACTATGTACCCTATCGCCCTTTCAGTGAAGGGCATCTAAAAGTGCACAAAAGGACCTAAGGCAACCGAAGCCAAAAGCATTGTACGCTTGCAGGAAAACTGCGGCCAATAAGCTACAAGAGAAAACCCGCAGACCAGAGGACCAGGAGACCACGGGAACGGACCAGGACCAGGGGGCCAAAGGGCGACCAAGCAACCAGGGGACCAGCGGACTAAAGGACCAGAGGACCAGAGGACCCGCAGACCACAGGGCCAGCAGAGCAGCAGAAGAGGCCTATCAAGTAATATTTGTTTTTGATAATTTGTTTTTTGATCCTCTTTTTATGTTTATGTTTTGATGCTCTTTTTTTTGTTGATCTAGAATCTAGATGCCTGTGATGGGTGACAGCTGGAAAATGTTTGGTTGGATCCGATACCAATCCCCATTCTTCACAAGACTTTGTGCCCAAGCGGGCCTTCTCCACAACAGGTCCCTCAGATGGGGCAAAGTCTGAAATCACCTTCGCCACATAGTCGCTCGGGAGGGCGCGACCCAATTGCACCTCAGCAAGATGGTCACAAAACAGCAATCACCCAAAAGCACAGGATTTTCGCAGAGTTGTCCTGCAGGAAAGTTGATCTTCAGGGTGTGTCTGCAGCAAATGCAATGAGATTGGTGTCTCTATCTAGAAGTCGACCATGCTATGAATATTTGTGGAAATCGCTGTGATGATTGTGATCTTCCTGAAGAATGCACGAGGCCTAGCCAACAACAAATCCGGAATTTTTGGGTGATCTTCAGTTGTACAAGTCGTAGAACTATGAATCCACATTCAGCGCTTACATGATCTTGCATGTATCAATTGATGGGAGTAAAAATGGATTTGCAAAATCCATCAAAATCCTATCATACCTTCAGTTCCAAACAAGCCCAAACCAAAGTTGCACCAGTCCAAAAAAAGGGGCAAATGGAAAGCGCCTCAGAATATCCATGACATGTTCTACTTGAGGTGTTAAATGTCCAAGTTCAAAATGACAATCTACTTGTCTTTGTTGCATTATTTTTTGCAGTGCCAAAAGCATTCGCCCAAATCATCCACCCAGTTCCACCAAGTCACAACAGCGGGCTCATTCGGATTTGGACATTTGCAGTCGCTGCACTGACTACCCATGCGACGATAACAACCCGATCGCGGGACACTTGGCCCATTGCAGCGCTTGGCGCGTTCCGTGCCGCGCGGGCGATGGGACCGGGCGGGCGGTGGCCAGATTCATTCGGCAAGGCACAATGACCAAGCAGGACGGGATGCTCTCCACTTTGCAGGTCCAATGCCGGGGTTTGAAGTCGGTTGAAGTTCATGTTGCACAACCCGTTGGCACATCGAAAGGTGGGCAGAGGACACATCTACTGTTTCATGCCAGGAAACTGAAATCTTCAATCAGGACCCCCTTCTGTGTGCCCACCATGAGGAGCATCTCTCCCAAATAGTAAAGACTAAACGGGTACCGAGTAGCCAGTGAAAAAAAGAAACGACCTTGTCATGGTTCCACACGCACGGGGCTCGGGCCAACCTTGAACCATCTCTCCAATCTTCGTCTCCAACTCGGCAGGGCCCAGGCCCTTCAGAGCAGCTGGCAAGCTGGGACCAGCCTTACCGGCCACAGCTGCCTCCTGGGATGTGCTCCGAGGAGCGTGGAAAGCTAATGGCAGGGACAAGACCTATACAGCCTATACCCAATTCTATAGCTATGGAGAACCACCTTGTGTGCAGTCGGTCGTTTTAAGTGTTAAAGCAACAACTACACTGTCCAAAAATTGACATAGCAAACATTGCACTCATCTCCAAGAGATAGCCCTTATCTCCAAAAGAATCAACAGCCAAGCGTCTAGGTTTCGGACTGGCTATATCACGTAATTAATGTGTACCATGGTCTCGTTTCTGGTCACCCCATATCCTGACATCCGGCATTGCCCCGCTTGGTAGGACATCGCCCATGCTCCGCATCCCACTCTCCTCTTCACCAGCAAACTCCTCCAGCACTGGAAGCTCCGCGCCGAGCTCCCGCAGGAAGCGGCCCCACTCCACCTGTCGACAGCCGCACAGATTGATTGACCACACAGGTCTTCCTGTGGTCGAAGAAATCAAACAGGGAGGTTTGATTCCGATTCCCTGGGCGCTCCGAGAACTTGTGCTGCTTGGACGAAGATACATGAGTGAGCCATATAGGTATCATGTAGAGCCATGCAGTGATGATGTTGGATCTCATCTTGCACTTTCTTAAACATAAAGGGCTTCTCCATGAAAGGTCAAAGGAAACAAATCTGGAGAGCAAGCAGGCGATATTGAATTGAATATGTTCTAAGTCTGCCCACATCACCCCACGTAGACCCCCAGGTGCCTTTGCAAAGCAAAGCGCTGGCACTGGCCACGGCCGATGATCGAAGCCTGTAGGCTTCAATGAATTCTGGGATGTGAGGACCGGATGAACAAATCCAACATGGCCCTAGGACAAACCCGTGGTTTTGGATGGCTTCGGGGCCCATGCTTTTTCAGGGCGACCATTCAGACCAGGACTCAGCACCCTGACTTACCGAGTACAGTAACAGGAGACAAACTGTTTGCAGAAATCCCGATTCACTTATTACATATTGGCTGAGCATGTCACTGGCCACTGCAAGTGTTAACTGGGATACAGTACCACATTCAGTTCTAAAGGTCCAATCTAACGGAGGAAACCCTGGTTGGACAAAAGAAACGGCCACCATTGTTGACATAAATGTGGACAACTAAGTGGACAATGGACCTACATGTTGACTCATCCTAGCAATCCCTTTCCACACAATCTGACTGCTTGCCGTCCTCAAAACGGATTCTATCAGGCGGGGCAACTAGCTCAAAACGCACGCAAAGGCAGTCACCCACTGTCAGCTGTCAGCCAAATAGACTAAACCGCCCCTTTCTTCCCTTCGTGACCTTTTATTGCCATGTGGGTCATGTGGGTTCAAATGTTATTGCGCCGTGCCTGTGAGCGCAAGCTTCACGGCCGCCTTGACATGCCCTGGGGGTAAAAGCTGTAGAGCTGAGTCCGCCTGTCCTGCATGGTCCTGCAGGGAATCACTGGTGTGCGGCCCAGGAATGCCCTTGGAGAGTGCGATTGGAGCGCTGGAAGCAAAAATGTTTGTTGGACTAGATCCCGACTAATTAGGGATAATTACCCATGGTATGGTTACATAGCTGAGCTCGGATCCCACAAGCCCAACGGCTTGAATCCATATAGACCAGTCCACCAGATCTATCTTGAAAAGTTCCTTCAATGTTGAGCCAAAAGAGGCAATCCCCAAATGGCAGATGAAAAGCAAGAGAAGCATTCCGGACCAAGGCTAATTAATTTGACATACACATTCGCAGTGCGCCAAGTGAACCATGTGGACTGAAAATCCGCTGGCCCGTTGTGTGTGTCTCATTTCCACACATCGATACACCTGGTCTTTACTGGTCTTTGCCTTGTCGAAAAGGCCCAGTGATCCTACTAAAGCAATCACTTCTAGCCTCAAGAAATACAACATACAAAAGACAACTGAACAACCAACTCTTCTTGCTTGGTGCTGTTCAGATGTGTGTTGCTAGCGCTGTGTCCCTTTAGCTGGCCACCCTTTCCGCCAAGATTGCGAAGATGGTTCGGCCCCGTCCTTGCTGGCCATGCCCACCTCTGCCACGGGTCCCCACTGTACACTGCAGAAGGGCAACTTGGCAGCTTGGCGCCACATGCTCAAGCCATCCAAGTAGGCGTTGGAGGCCTCAAGTGCGAATGCAAAACAACAAAATGCGCTCTTTGGGGGCATCAAATACGACCACAACAGGGAACACACGGTTGAAGTGGTCATTGCTTGTCAAGTGTATTTTGGAAGTGTTTGTTGTTACTTGGGGCTGTGATGAGGAGTGGAGGCCGATGTCCACGCAATCCAATTGGGTTTCACAGATTTATTTGGGTTTGGCTTCAAAGAAGTAAGGCCAAATGATTGTTTTTGTTCCTCACCTTGCTTTCTGCCATAAAAGCAGGGCCGCTCAAGTTTCATCGCCTTCCCACTTAGACACATTGAAACATTTTGAAACCATTATCACGATTGCTTGCACATCATTCACCTCTGAAGGCTTCGAGGCATTCTTGATCAAACAGTCACTGTCAGTATATAGACTATGTGTCACCATGTGGCACGCGTACCGTTCCATCTAGATACTCATCCAAATGTTTGACTCACATCGATCGCAGAAAAAAGAGCGACCGGATGTACTTCACCTCTTCTCAGCACGCAGCCCGGCTGTTTGTGCCAGGCGACAGAATAGCTGGTGCCCCGAGAGAGACCAATGAGAGCTGAAACCGATGAGAATCCCAAGAATGACTTCAGCGGCATCTCCTGGAAGTGCACAGGTGGACCCGGGGTTCCGAGGTATGAGTTTTGTTCGGATTTAAGCCCTCAAGAAAATCCTGTCCTTTGTTTTAGAAAGATTCATTTGCGGCCCATTTTACCAGGGTAATCTTGTCGAAAGCGCGGGATTCCTCAACACATGGAAACCACCTTTTAAAGACACGCACCTGATTCAACTCCACGATTCCTGCCCTCTCAAAGAAAGCTGAGTGGCTAAAGCTGGTGAATCACAGTAGAACCGATATTGAGATAATAGGTCAGTCAAAAGATGTCAAAAGAACACTCACGAAGCATGCATCCCATCATTCGCCCGAGCGTTGAATACATCCCAAGAAATGAGTTAAGTTTAATTAATCGATTCGCTATTCACACCGCCATATGTTCTTACATGTTCTTGCTAATTGTGTGTCGTTGGCCGATATTTTTGTGTCTTCCACGCAAAAATCTCTCCCATCTCCACCAAGCAGTCCCGGCCAATGCTCCTTGGTGGCCTCGTGCAAGTGCCATGCACCTCCAACCTGTGGGCACCAAGTCACCGTTTTTGCAGTTGAGGATATCTTCTATCCAACATCCTTAAAAGTGGAAAGAAAGAATTTACATCCCCGAAAGAAAGACTATGAACTCCTCTATAAACAAGAGGAATTTACATAGATGAAAATGGTTTTCCGCTTCCATGAGGACATTGGAGGGATTGTATTCCCCATGTCTGCTTCGGACATTCCGGGAACTCCACCGGGAAACTGGACCGGCAACCATGAGGTTGGGTTGGATCTCTCGTGCTCAATCGATCCTCTTGGGAATTCTCTGTCGGTGCTTGAAATAGACTCTATATTACACTATAACTCTCCCGATTGCATTTGAAGCATCGCGAATTTCTCAACAAAAGCACTCAAACATGTCACAAAGGTCTGCGAATAGTTCCATAGATTCGGCCCGCTTCAGGATCTTGAGGAGACCACTAGTTTTTGTGTTTTGGATGTTGGTAGTTTGGGGAAACCATGGTAACCCAATACCCAAAATGGGACAATATTACTAAAACCAGCATTCCTCTTTCTAGTCCTTTCCTGGGCCACCATCCAGACTGACAGCGTCATCTACTTTCTGCGTCATCTTCTTCCACTTCTCCAGCCTTCGGCTTGAAGACCTTTGCCATGCGCTCTGCACTTTGAGACTTCAACTCCACGAAATCGATCACTCCCGCAGCGTGCCTGGGTCGTTTCATGGCCCCCCATGGGGAATGAAGTGAAACAGGAGGCATCTATGCACTGAACCTTCTGCACTGGCATTTGGAGGTGGCCGGAGAATTTGAAGTTTGCTTCTGGAAGACGAGAGCCACAGGTTCTGTCCCACCCGCACAAAGACCCCGACTAAGCTCTTCAAAGCAGTGGGTTTGCATGGCTTTGCATTGTGGGAGGTTCGTTTGGCTGTGTTGCTAAGCTGCTAAGTGGACTTGCGTGCAGTATATAGATGCCCCGCCCCAGTCCTTCAAATGTTCACAACACTTACCTCCGTGGAATTTGGTGGGGTGCCATGAAGTCATTTGAAAAACGATTGAACATCTCTCAGAAATTGCTGTACACATTGGTGGGACAAAAGACTGCACGCAGGTCTTTTGGTTCGAATGTGCTCTCAGCCAGTTCCAAACATTTAGCCATCTTGGTCTTAGGCCCTTCGGATGCCTTTTCGGTCTTCACTCCTCTTTCGCCCGATTTCTTTAGGGGAATCGAAGGAAAAAGAGATGAA